CTATTGGTTCTTTTGGCAGTCCACGGCACTTTCAGTATTCTCCTCCAACACCACAACTCAAAGCATCAATTCTTCTCCGGTCTTCCTTATTCACTGTCCAGCTTTCGCATCCATATGAGGTTACTGAAAATACCAGGGCTTGGGTCAGGCACACCTTAGTCCTCAAGCTGACATCTTTGCTCTTCAACACTTTAAAAAGGTCTTGTGCTGCAGATTTGCCTAATGGAATACATCATTTGATTTCTTGACTGCTGCTTCCATGAGTATTGATAGTCAACCCAAGAAGAAGGAATTCCTTGACAACTTCAGTCTTTTCTCCATTGATAAGAATGTTCTTTATTGGTTCAGTGGTTAAGATTTTTGTTTTCTTTACATTGAGCTCTGGTAGCATAGTGGTTACAAATCGGGCTGCTAACCTTAAGATCAGCAGTTCAAAATTACCAGCTGTTCCATCGGAGAAAGATGAGGCTTTCTGCTCCTGTAAAGATTTACAGCTTCAGAAACCCTGTAGAGGGTCACTATGAGTCAGAACCAACTCTGGGATACGTAACAACAACAAGACCCAAGGTCTTCTTTATCGGCATATGGATATTATCATTTCACAGAGTGGTACTTCAAGATAGATCTTTAAATGTTCTTTTTTATGATGAATGTGGATCTATTCTTCTTCATTTGTCATTTTTGACATTATAAACCATGTGATTGTCAGATGTAACATGGTCAATAACAGTCTATTTCAGCTCAGTAATGCCTAGGGTGTCAATTTTTATTCATCCCTTTTCATTTTTGATAACTTCCAATATTCCTAGGCTCATATTTCATACATTCCATGTTCTGATTCTTAATGAATATTTACAACTGTTTCTCCTCATTTTGTGTTGTTGCCTATCATCAAATGAAGGTCCCAAAAGCTTTACTCCATTTATATCATCACAGTCAACTCTACTTTTAGGAGGCAGCTCTTCTAGTTGTATTTTGAATGCATTCCAACCTGAGGGACTCATTTTCTGGCACTGTATCTTACAATATGCTTGTGTTCTTCATCATGTTTCAGTATTCAATATTCTGCTGTTATCTGACAGTGTACCACTGCTATCCATAAGGTTTTCAGTGATTAAATATTTGGAAGTAGACTGTCTCTCCTTCTTCTTATTCTGGAAGCTTATCTGAAACCTGTAAACTAGGAGTGGCCCTGCTTGTATTTAAAATACCAGTGGCATAGCTTCCAGAATCAACATACAAACATACAACAACATACAACCAACAGCAACATACAAGCCAGCATAGTCCAACAAACTGACAGCTGAGTAGTGGCATTGGTATCTAGTAGCATGTTTTTTGATAATTATTTGAATAATCTTAATTAGTGGTTATAACATTTACTATCACTAAACCATATCATTTGGCCATAAATCTACAAAACCAACTAAAAAAGGAATGTTAAGCATATAGTTATCCTAGTAAAAAATAATTCCCTACCCATAGACTATAAGTAGTGGCAGTCAGTGGAATTTCCACTGTTCTAGTTGTCCTGGTATGGAACTGTAGGATGAACACTGGACCACAAGGTCGGCTTTAACCAAAAGGTTAGTGATTCAAATTCACCAGTCACTCCTTGGAATTTTTATATGAGGTCACTATAAGTCAGAATCAACTCAAAGGCACTTAATAACAGTTGTACCCTTGCTCAGAAAATCTTTCTAGATGCCTTCAGAATATTCTCAACTTAATAACAACAACAAATTCAATATGTAGTTTCTGGATTGGAAGCAAAGATATGACCTGTGAGTTTGTTAGAAGTGCAAAGTCTCAGTTCAATATCAGAATTCCTGAATAGATGATTCATATGCTTATCATTGAACTTAATATTTTGTCACACCTAGTAATGTTTTGTTTTTTCAATTTCATATGTGCCATTTTCTGTTAAGTCACAAATTAAAAACAAAATATTGTAAGTAGGTTAATATTTTGCTTAATATTTGTCCTATTTAGATCCTCCAATTATTGAAGGAAATATGGAGGCAGCCAAAGCAGTGGATTTAATCCCATGGATGGAATATGAGTTTCGCGTTTTAGCAACCAATACTTTGGGTATAGGAGAGCCCAGTATACCATCAAATAAAATTAAAACAGATGGTGCCGGTATGTAGAAGAAACTTTTTACTTTTAAAAATGATTATATATGCAGTGCTTTTAAGTATATAGTTCAGTGCAAAGGAAAGTAAATAATGTGCAAAAGTAAGCTATTCATATAAAAAATGTTTGTATGTGTGTATTCTTTATCAAGACAAAAAATCATAAAAGGAAATATGGAGATTATGAATATTTTCACATAGTTAAATTGCAAGAAGAGGAAAATAGAAATCATTGTATATTCCATAGAGACCATGTAATGAAGTTGGTATTTAGAATATCAACTTTAATGTAAATTCCAAATCTTAATCAGGCTGACTTTTGATTAAATTTGTTCCATGATTTAAAATATTTTAAAATTTTGTGTGTAAGATTTTTTCAGTGATTTGTAACTGAATGTCAAAAGACATTTATAACTGAATGTATATATGAATCAAGGGTGTGGGCAGTTGAGGGTAAGATGAGTAGAGAGAAAATGAGGGCTTCTCAAACATCAAATTTCTGCTGCTAGAGAAGTAATGGCATGTCTAAGAAATAGTGAAATGTTCTCTTAAGGTAACACTGTAAATGTGCCCTTTTATCAGAACTTAACTTTGATTTTTTTCTTTCCAGTTTGGGTTTTTGTTTTTATGCTAACTACCAGTCTATTCTGAAAGCCTTTAGTGCAATAAGTACCTCACTCTTGTTTTTATCTTCTTCTGTATTGACAAGGTAAAAAATATTTTTCCGATTCTAGTGGTAGTTATTTTATCATTTCTTGTCTATCAAAAAGAAAATGTGTTTGTTGTTTTTCTGAGTCAATGTCTTTTGATATCTTGTCATAATGGAGAACTTTATTTGGGGGTGAAGATTCTAAGTGGATGGCAGACTGCCGTTATATTCTGCTGTAATCTTTTGTATTTATGTTTATCTGGCTGTCACTATTCCTTCATCAACTTTCTTACTAGATTTATAATTGCTAATGTTTTTAGTTTTTAGAACCAAGTAATTTCCAGAATTGTCATCAATAAACTGTCTTTTAAAGTTTCATATAATTTGTCAGACAGGTTTGTAAGAGCAATAATGATGATTCTATAATAAAGGAGCTTTGGTAGCGTAGTGATTACGACTTGTGCTGTGAACTGCAAGGTCAGCAGTTCGAAACTACCAGCTGCTCCTCGGGAGACAGATGAGGCTTTCAGCTCCTGTAAAGATTTACAGCCTCGGAAACCCTGTACAGGGTCACTATGAGTTGGAACGGGCTCCACGGCACACAACAAAAATAACATAATAAAGGAACACAATCCTTACTGAAAATACTAAGTCTGTACCAAGTGTCTCACATGTTGCTGCTATTGCTGCTGCTGTTCGGCATTGTCGAGTCAGTTGGACTCATAATGACCTTATTATGTACAACAGAACGATACACTGTCCATACACTTTCCATATAAACTTCATGTAATCCTCACAGTAATCTTTTTTTCCTTCCTGTTCTCCCCTCCTCTAGAACCTATTAACTATAAATTTTCTTTTGTCTTGGTGGATTTGCCTATTGTAGAAATCCTGTGTAAGTGGGCTCATGTAATTATCCTTTTGTATCTGACTTATTCTACCTAGCATTGAGTTTTCAAGCTTCATCCTTGTGATGGCATGTATCAGAACACTTTATTTTTATGTGGTTGTTGTTGTTAAGCGCTATTGAGTCAGTTCTGACTCATAGTGATCCTGTATAGGGTTTCCAAGGAGCAGCTGGTGAGTTTGAACCACTGACCTTGTGGTTCAAACCGACCTTGCGGTCCAGTGCTTTATCCCACAGCACCACTGAAGCATATTCCATTTTCTGTATATTCCACATTTTGCTTATCCCCTCATATATTGATGGGCCTCGGAATAATCTTTTGATGCAGGTATTATTATCCCAATGCTCATTAGTGGGCAATAGGCTCAAAGACATTAAACAATTTTACCTAAATTAATGTAACTATTTATAAAATTGACAATTTAAACCCAAACTGCCCAACACCTTTTCCCATACATTGAACTTTCGTTCTTAAAAGCAACTACTCAAGCAGGACTCTAAAAAATGTATTTATTTTTTGAACTGTTATTAGAATTCTAACAGAAACTTAATTTTCATCCTTTACTATGAAACTAGATATAAAATTAATATTAATTTTTTTTTTT